AGGGGAACAACCTGACAGTTCAGATGAAATATCCTCATGGCTTCTTTGGTGGTTTTATGGCAACCACCAAGCCTTTAGCTTTAACACCTGCATTTGTCTTATCCTGACCCATACCTTTTGCAACCTCAGAACTTCCAACTTCCATTTCCTTAGCTTGAACTGGAAACTCAGAGATAGTTCCCACAGTATCACCCATATCCTTAGCCTTCTTTCCCATCTCACGCATACCTTCTGCTTCCGACTAACCAATTTCCTTCTCAGTAACATCCTTTATTATGACTCCCTTAACCATTTCAGTAGAATGCTTCTTCCTAACATTACCAACCTCTTCAATCTCCATTTCATCAATCTTTCTCTTCATTCCTTTATCCTTATCCTCCATCATTAAATCAGCTTCAACAGCTGGCCTCTTCCCCAAACCTTGTTCCAGTAAATAATCTGCAATAGGCTCAAGCATCTCCGGAATATCCTTTTGAGCACCAGAACTTTCCCCCAGGTCCTGTTTAGTATTAAGACCCTCAATTGCAGCTGATCTTTCTTGCTCAGTGAGATAAAGAGTGTGACCAAGCTCCATTAAAGCTCCAGCAGTAGCTGTAAGTGTTGATGCTTGAGGACACTTCTCATAGCCATGCCTTAAGCTTCCACATGTGGTGCAAAATTTCACCAACTTCTGAAAAGAGAATTCCAGTTCCACTGGTGTATTCATGATATGAACAGTGCGAACTGTTGATATTTAACTATCAATATCCATTGTAACTCTCACCTTAACTTCTGCTGGCCTCTGCAAATGAAGTGCAGGCTCCCTAATACGAACCTCATCCACATGACCAAACTTAGAAGCAAAGCTCTCAATTATGTGACTTCTATGATACATCTGAGGCAGCTTTTCAATATTAATCCAAAAGGGAATTGTTTGCAAAAAACTTGGAAATCTCCTATTTTTCCACAGATCAACAGCTAACATCCACCCTCTATACTCATATGGGGCATTTTCATACACATTCATCAGTTGATAATCCTTTGCAAAATAGAAATTCACCGTACCGTCATCATTAACTTTCGCATCCACACATCCCTTGGGAGCCCAAGATGCCATCATCGTTTTCTTAATTCCCGCAGGATTCTGATGATCCAGGTTGAGACCCTTCACCACGAGACACAGTTGATGCTCCTTTTCAAATTTGTCTTGCACATCCTGATGAAGAACCCAAGGCTCCTTGTCGGAGCCAAGCCTGAGACCCTTAAACACTTCCCAAATTGATTTCTGAGATTCCATAGTGACAGATCTGAAGATCCAAAAGCCTTAGACAAGATTTCCACAGGATTGTAACCGAAAAAAAGATCGAACTTGGTCGAAGTGAGATCGAGCTTGGTCGAAAGAAAAGTCGCCTAGAAGTTTCGCGAAGATAGTCCTTCAGGGATCTTTATTAATCTTCAAAAAATTTACAAAAATATCACTTTTTCAAAAAAAAAAATTATTATATCATTTATGTTTGGATTAATTATGTTGTATTAGAGTTTAGTTTTGAGGGTTTTAAAGGTCAAAACATTTTTTAGAGTTTATAATTTTAAGATTTAGGCTTTAAAAATCCATAATTAGTGGTATTTTTGTAAATAGACACCCCTAAATAGCATTTTTACAAATATCTACACCAAAAATAGTAATTTTGCAATTGTCCCTATTTTATTTAGTGTAAATCTATTTAAGGCTGTAAATGGTGACATATAAAATTAATTATGCCAGATTTAGCTAGATTCAGCAATTTCGCAATTACCATTCTATGTAAAAAAATTCCGCCATATTCAGGTAAATTCAGCAATTCAGCAAAAAATATATTGCAAGATTCAATTGAATTCAACTAGATAATTTAGATAGTTTTATTACTTTTAAAATAAAGATCGTGCTTATATCTTTTAAGTTTTTTTTTTTTGGTTCGATTCCATTTTTTCCTAATTGTTTGTACTTCTTTTTTAAAAAAACATAAGAATATTTTTCTGAACAGAAAATTTAATAATTACCGTAAATTTTATTGAAACAAAATTTTAGATAAATTTATTCTTTTGTAAGATAAATTCATCTTTAATTTTTTGAATTGTAAGCTTTGTCATTAAATTATATTGTTATTTAAACATAAAATAACAATATAATTTAATGACAAATTATAGGTTTACTAAAATTATTAAGTATAAATGTAAAAGTTAATATTTTGTTAATTTATTTAACTAAGTTTTACAGGTTTACATAAATATTAATTTTTTTTTTTAAAAATCAGCTAGATTCATCTATTACCATTTACATTTCAAGATATTCTGCCGGATTCCGCAAGAAATCACTAAAAATTCAGCCAAATTCTGCAATTCAACAAAATTCAGGCAGATTCAGATATTACCATTTAGACCCTAAACACGGAATAAACGCATAACAGATATGTTAAACTTTTCATCAAGTCTACTTTCTATGAAAGATGGTTCTCGCTCGTTCATAGTAACTAGAAAAATTTCCAACATATTCACCAATTTGCTTTTTTTGTATAGCAGTTTTCACGGAACATGAAGAAGCAACCGATTTCGTTACAATGAAATCTAGAAGTGCGTATTTTTATTTGACGTCACACCTTGAAGTGATCACGTTTCAATATTTCGACTATGCCGTAAAATTTTTATTAACGCATTCGAGCCTTACCTCAAACATATGATCAATCTTCAAAATGATGGTAAAGTTTTATTTAGTTTTCCCATTTTGAAGGTTTATTCTGTTTATTTTAGAAAAAAAAATTATATGAATTAAACTATGTTCTGTTCAATTTGATTTGTTATGAATTATGA